GGGCTGCAGATTTCAGAGAAACAACCCCACACATTTGAAATAAGCAGCAAGACCAGGAACAGATAGAATAATACAAGATACACAGGCAAAAAAGGGTATCTTCCCTCCACGTACCAGAGATGACAGATGCATTGTGTTAACTATTCTGTAGAGTATCCACTGCATAGGGAAGAGGTTTGATGTCAAAGCATCAGATCTGTAACACCCTGTAAAGCAGTGAGGGCTTCCTATCTCCTGATCTAGGCACAATGATAAAAAAGGGTTTATAGGAAAATCTGCCATTCCTCTGGATTTTACTCAACCATCCACAGCCTTCGGATAGGCATATAAGAGATTAAAATCTAATCCTGGAAGAATTTCAAGCTGTACTTTGTGGATTTATGTACAGATGAGTGCTTCTCAAACAATCACAAGGTTATCTACTCTTTACACAGTATTTTAGTGATAAAAGCTCTTGCCTGAAATGCAAGTAGTCAGAAAAGGGTCCAGACAAGTCACAAACACAGTGGTCTGCACACCAGCCTACAGACAGGTTTGGAGTGGGTCCTCCTGTTGAATATATCACCTTGCAGCACAAGCTGCAAGATTTCACAAGAGCCATCTCAGATGAAGACAATGTGTAAGGAAAGATGAGCAGAAAGCAATCCTAGGTTTAATCCCAGCTCTTGAAGCTGCAGAGGCACACTGGTGAGCAAAATGCAAGGGCAAAGACTTAAGCGTGGCATGAGACTGTCTAATTGGCAAACCTCAAATTACCTTCAGCAAGTCCTGTTCAGTCCAATTTAGACACAACAGCAACTTTTCTATGAAGCAGAAGAAAGAAGCAGCAGCAGAAGAAATCTAAGTGTCTGAGTAAACCAACATGAAATCTGTGGTGCTTAATTAGCTCAAGAGAAGCAGCTTTACAAACTGTTCTGGTGGGCATGTAAATGTAACCTCCTCATAAAAAGAAACATGCCTAAATTCCTTTGTAAATCTAGGCCTTACAAGCAAGTGAGTGAGAAATTAATTAGTTTGCAGGAACAGGAAAGTTTTTAAAGAGCTTGTTATGACAAGGCTATTCAAGCTAACACGTTATGTATGCCTGAACAATACCTCTTCAGTGCAGCAGCCAAAAAAAAAAATCTTCCCTTCCTTAGTAAGTTGAACTGGCAGAATGATCTATATTAAGTGATCTAACAGCCTAAACGTCGCAGCGACACAAAGCTAATCTTCCCCGTCTACAAAATAACTTCCCAG